GTGGATGGGGGGTGGATGGGGGCTTTCCAAGGGGTGAGGCTAAATTTGGGGGGTTTTCAGGTTTAGACATGGCAAGAGAATGACATAGCACCCAAATTTGCTTTTCTCTCAACTTCAACTCCATCTTAAAAAAAAAAAAATGGCCCATTTTGGGTTGCCCATGACCCTGTTCTCCCCCGTTTTGTCAAGAAAATCTGGAAACTCCGAACAGCACAACTTAGTAGGAGTACAATACTTTTCAAGTTCCAATGGTATACATGGGACAAAAAATAAGGAAATCAGATGATCCAAGCAAACCTTACATGCCAATGCAGTGGAAGCTACATGTACCCGGTACATGAAACATTCCTTAGTTAGTGCACAACACATCAAGTTTTAATATCCTTTGTAAATGTGAAGGTATTTGTACCGACACAGGGATTCTGGGCTCACGGCTAGCACTCAAGATTCGGCAATATCTTGCTATAACGTCAACACTGATGTACATGTACAAGTAGGAGTTTTTGCACACCCAGAGCCCTAATCCGATAGTCAAATAGTCAACAGAATTTTTCAGTGCCCATTTTTTCCCTGGACTGCAAGCGAGCACACCTACCAAAATCAAATAGGACAAATTCTTTCCATCACTGATTTAACAACAAGGGCTGAAAGATTACATGTACCTGTACCTGTATTGTGTCCTTCTGTCAGTGTTTAAATCAGCACTATAATTCACTTACATCCAAGTCAAAATACATGTACATGTAGTTTGCATTTTGATGTGTTTAGCAGCAGCCTCAAGAACACGTACATGCAACTCTTTTTTCATTATGAGGCAAGAGATCACATCTATGGGATTGAGTCTACCCCAACATGAGCAGAATTTGTTCAATATTAACTTACGTGTAAGTTGAGCTTCTCAAGTAGCTTACATGTTTGTACCTTGCAGTCTACATTAATGACCTTACCAAGTATTAGAGACAATGTACCACTGAAGATTTAAGATTTAACAATCACACTGAATTTGTGACAGTTTGCACACAAACTCTTTCATCTACAAAAAAACCTGAAGCTAAAACTCACCTCTGCAGCAGGCCAATTACGTGAATTTGGGGTGTGCAAAATAAGTTGACTCATTTAAACATCAACCCACGAGCAAAAAAAAGCTGGTTCAGTGACAGTTTTCTCTTTGACTCATATACCAACGGCATTCTCTGGCATGTACCACCAACTGTTTACTTTCAATTTCCTTAACTCTCTGGTTTCAAACTCTGCTGGAGCCATTCTACACTCAAACTTTCGAATATGAATTTCCAGCCCAAGCATGAGCTTCCTTATAAATACAGACACACTTTCTTCAGATTTCCCTTCCAACTCACGTACTGGTATCCTTCCTGGTTATATCAGACAAGGATATTTGGCTGGGGAAAAAGACATATCAATTGAGTTCTATTCAGAGCCTCTGAGAGTTTTGTTTTTAATGTTATCCTATAAGCATGAGTGAAACACATAACACAAAGTGTCTTTGAGTCCTGTGTCCTTCAAGTACCAGTACAAACAGCATAAAGGATTCAAGATATACATGTACAAGTATATTAACACTCACATTTTTGCCATTTGCTCTGTGTGGGAACAACAGATGCAGTTTTACAAAATAATGACAGTACTTTAGCGGGAACTTTCTGCACACATGCAAATTTCATGCTTGTTTGGCATGTGCTGAATTCGTCCTGCTATTTCTATTTATATGCTCATGTATAAGAATAGGGTCTTTGTCAGCAGTGCCAAGTGATCAGCTGAAACAATACCCACCAATCAGCCTCTTCTTTGTCGAAGAGAGGATGATTCAATTCAGAGCAAATTATGGACTCAAGTACAAGCACAAGTACATACATGTATTATCATAGAGCAAAGGAATAATTGTATGCATTACACGACGAATAAAAATTATCCAGTATTAGATGGTCAACTGCTGTTGCTATGTGATTAACCAATCAGCACTGAGGGTTCAACTTTACTTTACGAAATGTGTAAAATCTGGTGTAGGCCCTAAGTGGTTACTGGAGAGTTAAGTGAACACTCTTGCATATCTCCCGGCTATAGAGTGTGCTTAAGAAACAAGAAACATGTCTACATACGTGTACCCATGAATACAACAAAATTGAATTTGTATCGATCAGGAAAGATTTGTACAAAATGCATAGTTATCACTCACTCTTGGGAAAATCTCTCATAAAATTCAATATTTTTCATCTTATTTCCTTTTGAAGCTGCAGATTGCTTGGTCTAATGCTTTTTTGGTGTCTGTTTTCATCAACAAACCAATGAATCATCCCAGCTCTGTTTACACAATAAAAACAAATCATGGGGAACTTCAGGGACTTAACATCAATGAGCAAACTGGAGATGGACAAAGCAACTTGATGTAAATCTAAGGTAGGGGAGAAGGGTAGAGGAACAAGGCCTGGCCTGGGATAATGTAGGAGAATACAGGATATACATGTATTATGCAAGGTTTTCTGGGGCAAGAGAGCAAAGCACTCATGGGCAGCAAACTGATAAACCATTTATAGTGAGGATATTTTTGAGTAAATTAGTAATTTCTTTCCCTTTCCTTCTTTTTCTTTCTCTTGCTTTTTCTTTTTTCCAAATTTTCATTTTTCCATTTTTTGTTCCAGAGGAAGAAAGCTCCCCCCTCGTCCCCCTCAGGACACCCATGGGTACAAAATACCGTGGAGGTGTGACACAGAAAATCCATACGGGTTCTTCTGTGTGCCGGGCAGGGGTGAAGAGGAGAAAGTGTAGAAGCAGAGTGCAAAAGTAGGCTACCAAGGCCCAAATTTCATGGCTCTGCTAACCAAGGAATACACAATGAGCCATTGTATGTTTTCAGCACTAGCGCAGAAATTCTGCAACAAACCAGGTAAGTACAGAACCCTCAGTGACACAGTTTATGCATGCATATAATCCACATTTCTCTGCTAACCTTTGCAAAATGGTATTCTGTTAGCAGAAGTTTCTGCTATGCGAGTTTTTTTTCCCTGGATAGGCCGCAAGGGTCACTTAGAATGGTGAGATGGAGGTACCCTGGACGACCCAACTTTGATGGCACAATTGTATAATTTGTTAAGAGGTCAGGACTTACATGTATTTGTGGGGACAAAATCAATTTGTCCCCAGAGTAACTATCGCTCAAGGGTGTTGTGAGGGGAGATCCCCCTTCCCCCCCTCCAAAAAAAGAGAAAGAAAACAAATACAGAAAGGGAAATGCAAAAGAAATGAAAAGATTGAGGGAAAGGAGATGAAAATCACCAATTTTGCTTGAAAAACCCTCAACATAATTACCCTCCTCCCCCAATTCATTATTTTGTCTTAGTTCATGAGTTCCCCTCTGGGAAAAAATTCAGGCAACACCCCTGCTACTTTTTACATGTTTGCAGTCCCACAAGCATAATGCCAGTAGATGTGATGGTAAAGGAGACCTATTGGTGCACAAGGGTAGAATCAGGAAATAAATTGTCTCGTTTCTTAATCTCTAATTCCTATATATCTAAAGTGAGGGTTATTTCTTGGCACCTGTTTTTATATGCCACTCACAAATATTTAGGTAAAAGGTATCTTTCATGGTGCTACATGTACAACCATCTTAATAAACATGTCACCCGAATATACAGAAAAACATTTCGTACTTTGCTTTGCAGCTGTTTTCATTACTCAACACATGGATATAAATGTACATGTATGTGGTAGATGGGTATTATTGTCAAGGGCCTACAATGGAGAGAGCTTCGTCACTGTATATGATGTGTTTATCTGACGTATTTCCTGAGTCCTGTTCAGTAACGTACATGTACGGTATGGAACCAACCGTGTCATCTACACTGTAGCTGGGTAGATTTACATCCTAGACTAGTTCCTATTTCATTTCAGCTGGTTTTTAGTTTGGAATCCCAGTTCCTGCAGCTGTGGGTAGTTCGTATTGTCAGTGTTTTTCTCTCAAAACAAGGATAAGACTTTTAAGCACGCAAATTCTATTTATAGGAAACATGTAACTGGATTTTTATCCGTGGAATACATGAAGCATAACTGTATTTACATATTGCGATGACTCTCTACCTCCTTTGTAGCAGTAAAATGCAGAAATCAACATTTTGGATTTTATGCCAATGACGATTTCCACATTTTATGAGCCAACGGATGATTGCAAGGCACAACAGAAGTGTGTCCATAGTGTTGCGTGCAATATTTGTGTCTACATTTTCTTGGAGTAGTTTGCACCTTAAACTTGGTTTTCATGTTATAAAGCTTGTTTAAGCACTAGTAGTGGCCAGTATTTTTTCCACACCTTTTTGGTGGGTGATTTTGAAGAACTGATTTTTGCACTGTTATTATGCCCTTTTGACAAAGAGTGCCTTGAAGGACATCAAAATAGCCGCTTCGTGCATACGTTAATGAACGTGTTTGAAAACTATCACCGTCTATAACTTCCAATGAAAACAAATATTTTGAGATCTTGTTTTGTTTTTTAAGTTTTTATAATCTTCAACATGCACTTTGAAAGCAACTTCCAAGAATACAAGAAGTTCATACACTTACACCATGGCAGTTAAATGTTTACAAAAAGAGACAGTAAATTGGTCATCCATAGAGATGGGTGGAGCACATGACAACTATGAAGGGGGTCCAAAAAAGCTGGCGTCCTGGCTAAGGCAGGGCGACCTTTAGACAGAGGGTGGTTATGCCATATTGGCCACTGAAGGAAATGGTCGAGGTGAACATTCAACATTATGAAATGTGGTTATATTGGAAAAATATTCTTTTACGGTTAAGGCTGCATGCATAGGTGTTGCTCTCGATACTTGAGGTACAAGAAAAAGTACACGACTCTCAGATCTCATCACGCAGCAGCAAACAGTCAAGGTCACCCCTCAACATGTCCCATGTTGAAGTGACCATGTGATGCAAGAATATACTCTAGTCTGATCGAGAATATTCTGTTGCTTACCCAAGGGTCATACTCCTACTGTTTATGCAGTCAGGAGTGTACTTGTGTTACATGTAACACATGTGACTTGGTCAAATGCAGCGTACATGTATGTGACATGTAATGAGGTGCTTCAACTACGCACTTCAAAATAAGCTGCAACAAGTTGTGATCGAGAAAATGACATTCCCTTTTGAAACCACGACAGGGAAGTTGTCCCCTCAACGGGGTTTTTCATGGAAGGAAACTACATGTACTGGTATCTGTTATATGTTTATCGATTGAAAAATGAGTTTACAATTAAATCAGCAACGATGAAGCACAGTATAGACTAGGCTGCAGAAATGTACAAAGCTCTCAAATTACATCACAGGTTCATGTTTCTAAAACTCAACATCTGAAATTTATAAAAAAGTACTTTGTGATGATAAAGGCAACGCTACAAAGTAAATCAGAGGTACAAAAGCCACAGACCTGGCCAGCATTCAGCAAGTACCGGTACATGTACATGTACCATAAAGCAAACTGACATGTACAAGTAATATGTAATATGATGTACAGGTGTACAGGTACATTTCCAGGGGAGATTTCTGAAGCACTTTGAAAGATGGCATTTTGATCTTTTAACACACTGACTGCCGACTATGAGTATGCTCGTAATCACAGGTGTACCGGATTATGCCACTATGAGTATACTCATAGGAAATGAAAGGCTATGGTAATGTACATATAAATTGAATACACTGACATCACCAATGCTGGCGGTGTTGAGAATATACATCTGTAAAATGTTCAGGTTCATATGGACATCTGAAAGGTACATGTACCGTTTAAATATGCGTGCATGCGTACAATGCTTGGCTAATGAGAACTCCCCTTTGAAATCACGTCCTGCAGTGAACTTGCTAACCAAGTCCAAAAGAAACAACCTACTCCCCCCCAAAAAAGTGAGACTAATTTGAATCCTGCATGGTTTATTCAGTCACCTAGTCACCTAATTGTACCAATGCTCAACTAAGGACTCACACAGCTCACCAAGAAAAGTAGAAAGAAAGGGAAATCATCAATTAAAGCAGCCTAATGCTGTCCAACTTCAATCCCTATTTCAAGCAGGCTAACAGGTGGTGAACAGGTGATGATAGTCTGTGCAACCACAGGCAACGTTTTTGTTGAATTTGGCAGGGCAGATATTCTTACTGTTCTTTCCAGTAAGGAGCCAGGTGCCCACTGAATCCAATTTTCACAATACTGTATAATACTACAAAGCCATAAGAAAGCCTCATTTTTGGAGAAGGCAGAGAGGGAAATTTGAGCTTCGTGTGTGTGTGGGGGTGTGGGTGGGAAAATATCACTTTCAGTGTATTGGCTGCCATAGCTGGGACAATAACGTGTGTTATTTCAAAGAAACTTGAATCTCATCTCTAGCTGGAGAAAGCAAAATGCTCTGTGGACCCTAGTTATACGTACTATCAGTTCACATACATGTAGGTCACAGAGCAATCAAATGTCTTAATGGGCAGGTTGTGACTTTGTTACTGGAGGGAGGGAGGACATGCGGGCGCATACATTTATTCAAAGGGGCACTGAAAGCAAACTTATGGTGGCTTGTAGGGGGTGTGAACATACATGTACATCCATGTACATGTACATTGTATTAATTTCAAAATTTCAAATGGAGAGGGGAACCCGGGGCCACAGACTTCCGCTGGGGGTGGGGTGTATGTACTCCTACCCCATGTCATCCCTTCCCACCCCACCCCCAATTTACACCTCCATGGGTACATGGTTCCACTCTTGTGACTGATTTCTAGAAACCTTTAAACAGTTTAAAAACATTCTTCAAAAAGGGACCCCAACTTCAGCATGACCAGTTCATTATCGCCGTGCCCCAAATGGGGAGGGGAGGGGAGACAGTACCAGTATTAGTGCAGCACAAGTACACAAAAGTTTGCAAGACTGTTGAAAGATCACAACGCTTTACTTCCTGGTATATGTGCATGTATTTGTTTACCATATTTCTTTGGTTTACATTAAACAGCCACCCAGTTCCAATAAAACTGGTAAAAGAACACATTCAGTACTGACATGTCCATAAATAGTAACATGTATCAACATCTTATTTCTACTGTTTCCACTGAAAGCAAAATATCACTCAACTGAAATTTCAAAAAAATGTATTATTTATCATTCCATATTATGCTTTTGGTGCTATTTATGAGATTTCCCACTTGCAATACCACTAAAATACCAATTATGGCTTTACATGTAACAACAGTTATTCCCAATACAGTGTACACCTTGATGTTTATCCCACAATATGTGTGTTTCTCACAATGGGTTGACATCAGTAACTATGGCAACTTTGGCCACTCCAACGTTTTGAAGACAAATGGACAGCTAGTGGGTGAGATTGATGCAAAATGACAAATAGTTCCTGACTAGTACATGTACCAACAATCCCACATGTACATGACCAGTGTGTACAATGATGAGAACGGAGGGGAGTCTCAAGAGTTGGTTGTGAAAACATTGCCATGATTTAGAGCTGTTGCTTTGTCAAAGAAATCATGGGATGTCCGCCTTTTCCAAAAATGTGATGCTCTTCCATTGTACTCATTCATCCTACCCAATAGAGGGATTTGAGTCGAAAGACACAGTAGATTGGCAATAGAATCCTTAGAAATTCATATGAATCCATTCATGTGACCTCAACCCACTCCTTATATCATATGTACAATATACCGGTACCTATACCCCTCCAGGCTGCAGATCCCTTACCTTGGTATATTTTGGCTGATACGACATGACACGGCTCTTCCAATTCCGGAGGGCAACCACCTCCACCCACAATGCCCTGTTCTGCATTTCTAGAAACTGACATTTTTCCGCGGCATTTTTCAAGTTTCCCCGAAGTTTGTCCACGGTGCAAGAGCACGGCACACTTGAGCAGAAGCTGCACGGCTTTGCGCTCTGACGGCGGCGTCTGGATTGTCTCCTGGGAGACAAAACGCTCAGTGCAGAATCATTCATGTCTTCTTCACTGATGGAAATCAGTGTCTGCATATTTATATATGCCTGTTGGTCTTCCATCTGCAGTGCCTTAAATTTACTCATGTGCGCGTCACCTCGGGTCAAGTCTGGATCGGCCCTTTTGGAAGACCCTCGGTCAAGATTTCCTTCCATCTTACATACTTGTGTGTGTAAAAACCTTTTGTCATCAGCAGGTTAAAAATGAGACACCTAAACGTTTATGAAGAAAATGGCAATCAGGAGGGAAAAAAAGCTTTGACAGTTTCATCCTCTATCAGAAGTATGCAATCAACATCGATATGACATCTTATGCCAGTGCATCTGGTAAGATGTACAAGTAAAAGTCTTGTTTTTAGCACTGACAAAGAGATTATGCTATACATTAATAACCCTGGGTTATTATTAAGTACATGTAGTTCTCAAAGCATGTGTTTACAGAAAGCAATTTTCAAATCAATGGCAGATTCCACAAGGCTTTACGCGGTCGTGATGTACACAGCACACTGATGAATTCAAGAAAATATTCCAGTACAAACACTTGTGGCTTGTGATTCTACCGACAATCAAAAAGCCAACTGAAGTTTCCGTCATCTCCATGATGAGACTTTCAAGAAATTCCCGGCAAGAAAACAGGTCCCTAGTGTCAATCCAAACCTGCTAGTTTGGTCGGCATCACTGACACTGCAGCAGAGTTGACACGCAGCACCAAGAAATCCACACGATTATCACGTTCATTATGTGAAGAGCGATACGCGTATGTCACTACAGAAACACTTAAACCCCTCAGCTTGTTGACAAACCCGAACGACAAAACGGTTACAACTATCCAATCAGCGGGCTGCTTCCCACATATATTGTACTGCCTTTGACAACTCCAAGCGTGCCAGACTTTCATTTCACTGACATGAAATGCAAACATGCACGGCAAACCTTTGTAGTGTTTGAGTTGAATTGCCACACTGTGCAGGAAACATTCCCTGTCCGTATGTTTATAATGTACACCATCAAAAAACCAGCCCAAAACAAATAAAAACCAGGATACATGTATTTCCTCTTGAAGACCGAAACACTTCCCAAATAATTCTGTGGAAGCTGTATTAACTGATATATTGGTCCCTGCACTCCATGTGTACACATGTTATTGAGAAGCTTTGTCATTCAACAATTGTTATTCTTGTGTCACATGTACATGTACGCACTTCTGCCTCTAAAACTACCACAAGCTACTTTAACACCGAATCCGGTATACGCTATGTGAGTTCTATTTCAGTTAACATATTTTCTATCCATTTGAGTGAGACACAGCTTTCTGACATTTGACACAGAGCAGCATCTAACACTGCCCCACAGAAGGCAAAAATACTTATTTTTTCAGGAATTATTTCAAATCACTGGAACTGGAGCAAAATAACTCTTCTACCTTTTAAAGGACAACTGGTTTTAAATCAAAGGATTGCGAGCACTTGACTACGCAAGGTGCCAGTGCCGGTACATGTATAAATGCATTTACTTTTCTTCTTGATATACGGAAGGCACAGCCCTGCTGCCCTGTTTTGCTTTCAGTTTCAAAAATAGAACTGATAAATTCTGAACGCTTTTGCTTTGTTTTGAAACTCTAACATCGTCTAATTATCCAAATTACGAATTCAAATTTCCCCAAGGTAATTTCCCTAAATGTAAATATTGTTGGGAACAAAATTTCTAAACAAAAAAAGTCTTTCAAAATGTTCTTTACAAAACAAACAGGTTTTAAATACCAAAAGAAGAGTCAACTAATATGGTAATTTGTGTGTTTGATGGTTGAATTTATACTGCCATGGAAAGTTAATTGAATTTGATTGTGCTGAAAATTTAATTCAGTTGTGGGAGGAGGGCACACTGGGCAGTGCATTTTCATTTTTTACTGTTAATTGAATTATTCTCTGCAGTTTCCATACACAGTCTGGTGGTATAGGGCAAGTTAAGTCACAGTTTTGCAAAATTTGTGCTGCTTTGTGGTAAAAGCTTGAAATTGGCCATGCGGGGTCAAAATGGACTAGAAAGCATGTCAAATTGGGTCCCAATGAGGTATAAACCATTTGGGGGTTATAGTTTTTATATCTAAACATGAGGGTTGCACAAAAAAATTTTCAGTAAAAAAATGTGCTAAACGATTACTTTCCTGGTAATTTTAATCCCACCAGTCAAATTTTCTGTCTTTACTACACAGTGCATGATTTGGGGCTGTGTTAAAACAAACCTTCTCAAATGATCGAGGGAGACTTGAAGAATCTCTCTTCCTTCCTACAGGTGGCACCTGCTCATAGTTCAGTCCACTGGGCTGGGTGGACACGGTGGAAGCATTGTTGTTGGTTGCTAGGGAATAATTCCCCAGCAACCTAAGGTGCTGGTACCTGTCTGCAGCTGGTCTGCAAGGAGACAAGATAAGGTATGAGGCACTTGAAGAGTTACTGTTCTTTACCACAATGCAAAGGTTGGCATATACGTGTACATGTAGAACGTGTACATGAATTTCCATCTTAGTATGACAAGGGCTTTACTAGAATCTTGAACTAAAGAGGTTTTTTAAAGAAAGAAACAGTTTTAAACTCTAAGTGGAATATTTTTCAGTCATCAACTGCGATAATAACAGCCGTAGAGTGGATATAAGTTCTCACTGAAGATTGCTTCAATTTTGCCTTCCAGTACCGTTCCAGTACAGTTTGTCCCGCTTTGTCTCTATGTACCAACAGTGAGTTTCTCATTATGGTCATGAGAGCTTTGACACCACTCTACTTTTCACACTTTTTAAACAAACTGCTGCTTAGAAACCATCCACATGTGTCTGTCAAGGCATTTAAGTCTGTGATCTTTGGTCTTGAACAATGTTATTCACAACGTAATGCCACTGTGCCTCCATCTTGTTATGCCAGAAAAGTCTCCATTCATCATATTCCCACCTTCAGCCTTTACTGGTACATTACAAAAATAACTTTAATAATGTTTGGAAGCTTTAGGACTATCTGACCCACTTGGCAAGTCACTGTCCAGTACTCACATGGTCATTACAGAAGAAATAAAAATGCAAGTTCACTTACACCTGAAGTAGATCATCTCCTATCAGATTCACAGTAGCTGGTGAACAAGCAGACACGTTTAACGGTGACTTTGGTGAGCTGGCCTTGAATGGGACTTGCGCTTTCTTAAGATCCGAGACAACAAAGTTCAGATCACTGGAAACGCTGGACAAGGCCTACACGTGCCGCAGGAATAAAAGAGGCAGTGACTGTCAGGTTTTGTAGGCCTCTCAGAGAGTAGAAATCTCATCAGGATTTACACTTCCTTGCTGATTACCAACAAATAAATGTAAGTACACGAACTTGGCTGTATCCCACTCATTCACCTGCTCGTTCTTATGCTCCCTTGCCATCTCAACATTCTGATAGATATGAGGTTATCATGATAGGAACTCATCAAGTGTTCATGTTTGCTCTACTATGGTGACATGCATTGTTCATGTACAGGATGACACTAAATTACACCAGACGGCACACACTTCTGGCAAGACTGTTATTTAAGAACTACTCACTAGAATGGAAAGCAGTGCATTGAAACATTTTAAGCACGCCCAGAGTGGAAGGCAAAGACACGACGATCCCATCAGTAAAGAAAAATCAAAAGATAAGAGAATTGACACAAACATGTACATATAGTATGAAAGATCCCCTTGCATGAAATTTGTCACATGCTGCACGTATGGCACCGTGTGGCAATATTCACATGATTTGCTTTCAACCAATAGGAATGGCTAAACTGCCCCAGGCACAGGTGAATGTCAATTAGTTTGATCTCGGAATCCCCTTTTGATCTCGGAATCCCCTCATGTTGCTTCAAAACGTGTTTGAGCAGAGTCTACACTCTGCAGACTTTGAACCATGGAAATTAATAAATCATTACTCTTTACTTGTTTGCTTGCGAGAACATACATGTAGTCAAATTGCACAATGCATTTGGTTGCTTTGGATCCCTGTTGCTCACTTGAAATCTTTTGTTTGGCCATCACAGGCTTTAAATGTTTGACAGTAATGGCAGGCCACTCAGTGTTCTGAATTAATCCTTTTTACTCTTTGATGTGTGAAACAATATAAACCTGAGCATTCTCTGATAACTGACTTACCGGTACCTTACATGTGCCAGCGCTTTCGAACAAGGGAAATTTGAACTTAACATATGCACAAAATTGAACAGGTTCTGACTTGCCTCAAAGTAGCTGTTTCTTCTCTGTCGACCGACCGGCGGGGGTTCATTATCGCCTGGTGACAGGAGAGTTAGGCTGGCCATCTTGAGAAAAACAGGCTCTTGATACGCCTTACGATGAAGAGAGGACTCTTTCTTAATTATGGAGCATCACTCTACTTTTAGCTTCTCTCTGACAAAAAAAACCAAAAAAACGCGCACTTGTTCACACTGATACCCAAAATGGCCCCAAATGGAAAGTATTCCAATCAGTTCAACACAGACAGTGGTGCTGCAAGAGTGCAGTGCATAGTTGAATCGCACTCCATTCACATACATGTACAGTACATATCCAGTCACAAGAAACTAGGCATGAACAACGTGTTTAAAGAAGATCACTTGAAGAGCTGAAGATTTGATGAGTTAGGAGAACTTGTCCACAAATTCTGACAGGCTTGTCAGCTTTGCACATGCATGGAAGTTTCATGTGCAAGCTGAAACATTATCGGTACACAGCTCTGGTCCAAAAGAGGTATAGACCGAGACTCACTGGATGCAGAAGTTAGACGACAGTGCAACTTACACGGTATGCTGCTGTGATAGCTGGCACTAGTACAAAACATGTACATGTTCATGTACTGACGTACATATATGGCAAACCAAAAGCATGTGTAAATAAATATAATTTGGGCAGGAAATGATCGTGCTAAGTACCAAGTCTAGTACATGTGCGCATGATCTGAAGGGCAAAGAATTGTATGGTACAGTACATGTGAAATGAAAGTTCATGGGCACGTGATGATGTTTCTGTCTGGTTTAGTAAAGTCTAGAGATGCAATGTGTACATGTACACTTGTACAATTGCTGAATATTTATGCCCAAGTTTCATAGTGCAGGAACTGGAACCAGTGTACATGAACATATCCTACATGTACAATAAAAAACATGAATGTACCGGTAATACTAACATTGATTCTGAAATGTCATTGCACATGTGAATAACTACATGTACATGTACATTAGGACTGTACGGTTAGTGCAATATACAGTATCTCTTTTTTAATCTTGGCCACACTGCAAAACTGACTGAAAAAAAAATCAAGGTGCTAAGGTAATGTGAGGGTCACCGTCAGTTCATACTGTACATACCCAGACTCTGCAGGAAGCAAAACCTACCGTCATTGTACTGCATCTACAAGTAAAATTGTACAACGCACACTAGATGGAAACTCTATCAGTACTCTTCCATAATGCCTGCATTGAACTTGACAGATCCCAGTCTCAAAAACACGAACACACACAGCAGGGATTGTAGACAGAGCCAGGCTACAACTTATCCCATTTCTGTGCATCAGATAGCATGTTACACCACCCAGCAGTTATGAAGGTACATGTACATGTACATGCAAGCATACGAATGCACATGTACCGGTACATGGGTATACATGTATGTATGAAAGTTGTGGGCAGAGCCTACATCTACTGTAAACTTTGCTCCAGTGAGCCCTTTTCTTCAACTTGTTCACTGACAGCAACGTAAACATCATTATCTTGTAAAACAAACAGGCAAAGCTGGTATGGACTGGTGCTACATGTACATGTATGATTCTATGGGTATACATGTACCTACCAGTAGCATTTAACCTTACAAAAAAGCAGGGGGTGGAATCTCCCCTCCAACCTTGTCCCCCAAAGCCTTTTTTGTACATGTACGTGCCAAGTCTTAATGTAACCCTAATGCCGTAGTCATTTTGACACCACTTTTAAAATTCAGATGCTGTTCTTGCGTATGCACTTTTTTTTTTCTGAGATGGTCCAGCCAAAAAGGCATATACATGTACCTTTTCCACTTAGGGTCCTCACTGAATGCCAGCCAACGCATGTGAGACCACAAACTTCAAACGATCATAACGTGAAAACCCTGAAACACAGCTGTACTGATAACTGTCTTTAAAAGCATGCCAAATTTACAAAAAGATGTATTCACAGTTGTTTAAGCTTGAATTGACCATCACACAAAAGTAGCTTTCTTCTTCACAATCTAAATTCAAAGTCTCACTACAGGTACATGTATGCATACAAAATGAGCACATAATGCACAACTGTTTAGGTATGAGAAAAAAAGCGAGAAATGAAATTTTTTGACCCCCCCGTTGGCAAGTACAAATGTATAAATATACATTGCACAAGTTCACTTTTGCACATTCATTTGGCTACTGACTACTCAACCCTCTGACTACATACACGTACATGTACAAGTACACTGCACATTAAATGATAAAACATCAGAATACTGTCGGAATATTCCAGCTAGATGGCATTATCAAGCTTTTAGTCACAATTAATTACATGTAAAAGCTGGTTGAATTTCCACTGAAATGGCGATGGGAAATTTATCATACCGGTAACTCTGAAATGGCATAAGTTCTACAGGTGGGATACCCTCATGTTTGTTGCAAATTTCAAGGTCTTTCTGTACCCAGCCAAACCTTCAAATGAAATGAATTGCGAACAGTTGTGAAATGAACTACTGTACCCTGAAAGGAGCCTACCAGGCCTTTAATTTGGGCTAGGGACACATGAAATCCTAGTACACTGTCTAATGTACATGTACATGTACAGTATTCACTGCCGAGACTTTCAAAATGTGTCTGAGAGTCACGGTACAAAGAACCACATGATCTTGGTACTTGCTTGTGTGGCAAAGCTAACAATTACGTGCAAATATAACAATATAACAAATATAAATGGTCATGTCTCCTATTTATAAAAATGCACGAAATTTCGTCCAAGAAAGTTCAAATGTTATGTCTTTTATACACTGGAAAAGTTCTCTGTACATCCAGCTTAAATGTAGATTTCACCTTCCTTTTCTTGGTAATGTATCCCCCTGTTTGTTTATTCATGGTGTGTTTTCCTTCCTTCATGATTTATTCAAGCCCAAGCTTCCCCCTTCAAATTTTGCCACACA